TGACCCGCTCTCCTCCTTCCCCCCCATGGCCCTGTCCCGCTCTCCCCCTCCCCCCGCGGCACTGTCCCGCTCTCCCCCTCCCCCCGCGGCACTGTCCCGCTCTCCCCTCCTCCCGCAGCACTGACCCGCTCTCTGCCCCGCAGGCTGGAGGAGGAGGCGGCCCAGAAGAACCAGGTGCTGAAGGCCCTGCGGGAGCTGCAGGCCCAGCTGACGGAGCTGCAGGAGGACGTAGAGACGGAGCGGGCGGCTCGCGCCAAGGCTGAGAAGCAGCGACGGGACCTGGGCGAGGAGCTGGAGGCCCTGAAAACCGAGCTGGAGGATACGCTGGACTCCACAGCCACCCAGCAGGAGCTACGGTGCGGTGCTGCCCGCGTCCCCGGGCCTGGTTCGGCTCCCCCCCAGAGCTAGCTGCATCCCCGCGCACCTTCCCCGGAGCTGCCTGCCTCCTTGGGCCTGGCTCGCCTCTCCCCAGAGCCAGCCGCATCCCTGCGCACCTTCCCCAGAGCCAGCCGCATCCCCGCACACCTTCCCCAGAGCCGCCCACGTCCCTGGGCCTGGCTCGCCTCCCCCCAGAGCCAGCCGCATCCCTGCGCACCTTCCCCAGAGCTAGCCGCATCCCCGCACACCTTCCCCAGAGCCGCCCACGTCCCTGGGCCTGGCTCGCCTCCCCCCAGAGCCAGCCGCATCCCCTCACACCCTCCCCGGAGCCCCCTGCCTCCTCGGGCCTGGCCTGCCTATCCCTGGGTTTGGTGTGCACCATCCTCTGAGCCTCCCCCCAGAGCCAGCCGCATCCCTCTGTGCCTGGCCTGTCTAGCCCTGGGGCTGGCTGTGTCCCCAGGCCTGGCCCACCTCCCCCCAGAGCCAGCTGGATTCCCACGCACCTAGTCTGCTTCCCCCGGGAGCCGGCCACGTCCCCACACACCCGACCGCCTCCCCCCAGAGCCAGCTGCATCCCCGTGCACCCAAGTCCCCATGCACCCAGCCCACCCCACGTCTCAGCATAGGGCGAGGGGGCCCTGCAGAAGTAGCCCCTGCGCGCCCCCTGCCCGTGGCTCACCGCTGCCCCCTGCAGGTCGAAGCGGGAGCAGGAGGTGGCCGAGCTGAAGAAGGGGATCGAGGAGGAGGTGAAGGTGCACGAGGCCCAGGTGGTGGAGATGCGCCAGCGACACGCCCACGCCCTGGAGGAGCTGTCCGAGCAGCTGGAGCAGTCGCGCCGGGTAGGGGCCGGGAGGGGAAGGGTCCTCCATGGGGCTAGGTCCCCCCTGCATCAGCCCCCCTGCTCTTCCATGCCCGGACCTCCATCATGCCGGGCTCCCCAAGCCTTCCCCCCTTCCACCTCCCCCCGGTGCTGCCTGGGGAGAGCTCAGTGGGGTCAGCACGGGCAGGGGCAGGGAGCCAGGACTCCTGGGTTCTCTCCCTGGCTCTGTGAGGGAAGTGGAGGCTAGTGGTGAGAGCAGGGGGGCAGGGGCTGGCAGCCCGGACTCCTGGGTTCTGTCCCTGGCTCTGGGAGGGGAGTGGGGGCTAGTGGTGAGAGCAGGGGGGCAGGGGCTGGCAGGCCGGACTCCTGGGCTCTCTCGGGCTCTGCTGTGGGGTGTTAGCTCTGTGTGAGGTGGTTCTCGGCCCCCCCAGGTGAAAGGCGCCCTGGAGAAGGCGAAGCAGACGCTGGAGGGGGAGAAGGCGGAGCTGGCGCAGGAGGTGAAGGGGCTGCAGGCCGCCCGGCTGGACTCAGACCAGCGCCGCAAGAAGCTGGAAGGGCAGGTGCAGGAGCTGCAGATCCGGGCCAGCGAGGCCGAGCGAGCCAAGGCCGAGCTCGCCGACCGCGTGGGCAAGCTGCAGGTGAGACCCCCCCTGCCCCCTGGATCGGACCCATGGATCCCACCCCCTCCATCACCCCTCCGAGCCCATCTACCCCGGTATCCTGCCCCCTTCCTGCCCCCTAGATCAGACCCATGGATCCCACCCCCTGGGCCCATCTACCCCGGTATCCCGCCCCTCCATCACCCCTCTGGGCCCATCTACCCCGGTATCCTGCCCCCTC